AGTCCACTCCAAAAAGATAACAGTAACATGGATTACTAAATATAGATTTTTGGGAGTGGTGCGGCTTATCTGATCTCATACAAACTATCCTTGCATCAACTTTCCAACTTTCAAAACTCTAGACCTTCATAAAACGATACAAAGTCACTTTAATAACATGAAGAAGCACAACGGAAGCCTAACAACATCATTATTGATACTTCAATATTAATGACACAAAGGCGTACTTCTCGTACATTTCCAAAAAAAACAAATCCATGTGTTCTCACTAAGTAATAAATTTAGCCTGAAAACGTCATCTTTTTTCCTCTCCCAAAGTTGTGTATGCCTTTCTACGATTAGATACTTAGTTTTTTTTCCATTTGATTGTTGGAATGCGTATAGTAATTAGGATCAACGCTTGATTATTTCTGTGCTGCGCTTTATTAGGCGCATTTGCCTCATTAGCTTCTGTTGGAGAAGTCTATATAGGTATGTCGCTTTGGGTGAGTTAATATTCGTTCGTGATGTTCTCTGTCCATATCAGCAATAACTTCTTCGATAATTTGTATCTCTAGGTCCTTATGGATATCTGCGTTTGAGTATACTAGCCTGTATTTGTGATTTGCATCAGTATTGTAATCGCTGTGTAACACTGATAATGGATTTGATCTTAAAATCCTTTCATTTAAAGAACATAGGTTTAAATAGGTTTAATTATTGCTATATACTCGTGGAGTAATATTTTGTTGTTAAGGTTTAGTGAAGAGTTTATTTTTATGAACTAATCAACTTGTCACAATTTTTCTTTGATTTGATCTCTGCTCTTTTCGATATGAAACCTCCAGATGAGTTTACTATTAAAATGCATGCCAAGTTATTTCGCCGTGTTGTTTATGGAAATGGAGCTGTCCAGAATATCCAGATAAGGGAACCAAACTAATAAGGTTAGTTTTTACATAAACAAAGAGATTAAAACATTTGTAGTAAGTTGACAAAAAAAACCGATAAATTCACAGATATTTCTCACTACTCATTTGATTGTTTACTTTAAAAAAATTATAGTTCTTTATTTTATTTATAATCAATAAAAATTAAAAAAAAAAAAATACATTAATTATTATTTGCATTTTCTTTAATTTCATACAAAAAAAAAATATTTTTATAATTTGCAA